GGCGATTTTAACAACGACGATCGCTCTTCTTTTCATCCTTCTCTTTTAACTTTCTATGTTTTTATCGACGAAGGTCGTTGCCCTTCTTCTTCTCATTCTATTTTCTTTTTTCGTCTTTCTACGATTGTTGCGACGAAGATGGTTCCTTTTTTCTTCCTTTTAACTTTGTGGCGATTTTAACAACGATGATCGCTCTTCTTCTCATTCTTCTTTCTTCCTTCTTTTTTGTCTTTCTACAATTTCAGCGACGAAGACTCTTTCTCTTCTCCGTGTTCTTTTATCTTTCTTTTTTATCTTTCTACAGTTTTAGCAGCGAAAATCGCCCTTCTGTTTTTTCTTCTTCTACACGTTTTTCTTTCTTCTTTCCTTTTTGTCTTTGTACGATTTTAGTGACGAAGGTTATTCTCCTTCTTTTTCTTCGTCTTCCAATTCTTCCTTCTTATCTCTTATTTCTTCTTCTTCCTTTTTCATCTTCTTACAATATTAGGGACGAAAATTACTTTTCTTCTTTCTCTTCTTCCTATTCATCTTCTGTGTCTCCTTCTTTCAACTCTCTTTCTTAACATTTCTACGATTTCAACAATAAAGATCATTCGAGCATTTGGATTAAAACTCATACGTGGGATGCGATAAAGCGAAGCCCTCTGCGACATTGTTTGGCACAGCAAGAGGGGGTCGAAAGTGGTTGATGCGCGGCCTCGGGGGTTGCACTTCGGACGTCAACGAGCGTAATTGAGGCTTTCGATCCAGTGAACTGGCACGCTAATTCCGAGGCGCGAATTCGACGTCCGGGACAGAGGCTGCGGGAATAGATGGGAATCGACGAGTTTTTCGAATTTTCAGCGAATATTGACGAAACCAATATTGTCCACCGGAGAACGGTTACATTGCGTTAAGAAAATTTTTTTTTTTGCGAAACAATACCTTCTCTTTATTCTTACTCGACGTTTTTATACATCTTTTATTTCGTTGAAATGGGAACCATCTTTGATGAGAGAATTGTTTGTTCCCTTCTCTTTGGAGAAAGATTCCTTTACAACGAATGAGTAATTTTATTTTTCGCTTGAATTTGTTACAGTTAAAACGCAGAATTTTTTGTACCATTCTTCTGAGGGGAATTTTGTATTCTCTGCTTTGCAAACGTTTAGTTTGTATATGAAAATAAACTCGGTTAAATTAAAACTTTTTCTCGATACAGTGGGTTACTGTGGAAAAGTGTCGTATACTAGACTTTGTGCATTCCGTAACTTGTTACTGGCTATTCTTGCGAGCGTCATTTTACCCTTTAACGATCTGAATTGCACAAAAAACTTCTCCGGTTAGGAAAGTAGTAGAAATCAATACCGTGGGTCAAATTATTAATTTCCTGGAAAAATTTCTAATTAAATCTTCCAAATGAAACAGCGTCCAAAATAAACACACTTTCATCAATAATTTCTTCTGTCAAAAGAATTCTCCCTTCCATACTAGTATCACCAAACGCAAATGCAAACGAAAATATCTTTACTCAACCCTTTACCTAACTTCCTTAATCATACTCATCAAAACCACTGCAAAAATAATCTACCGTGAAATAACTTCAAAGCCAATATTCAATACGCAACTCCATATTCGCCTAAAACGTTCGAAATTTTTCACGCAAAAATAATATTATATTCCGGCACGAACTGAATAATACATCCCCGCCCATAAAACTCGATTCAGAAATCTAGCCGCCCCGGTTATAACGCGACCCGCGGTGCCGAAATAAAAATATTTATTTTCCCATAAATCTAGTATAATTTTAAAATAATCGTTAAATACAGATAAAACCGACGGATAGGCGTCTGGTGTCGCTCTTCGAGGAGCGTAAAGTAATCCGGAGGCGCGGCGGATGCTTCTTCCGTCGTTTCGCAGAACGAGCAATTTTCCCGCGGAATATTTCAACGGTCGTCCATTGGAACGGAAAGCGCTCGTCCGGTTCTTTTCCCGGGTTCGCCTCTAGTAATTCGCGGGATCGCGGAACGGAGCACACAACGCGGAACATTAAACGCGTTTATACGATGAAACAGGAGGAGGGCCGCGCAGCGTGTCACTCGAATACACACGATCTCATTGTCGTGTTTCCCGTGTATTTACATCTGCCTTCGACAATTCGAGCGTCCCCCCGTCGAATCGTCGCCGGGGCCCTCTCTATTCACTTTGTCGCGGCACATTTCACGCTCGTATATACCATGGGTCTCCTCATTTCCATCGCTCCGCTGCCGTTCGTTATTGCTTTTTAAAATGGCGGCGAACGATGAACACGTCTATTGTTTCTTGTAAATGACAGCGGACATACGTAAAACAAACATTTCTTAAATGTGAAGAAACATGGATTACATCGGAACCAATTTCTTCTTTATTTCTTGGATTAATTTGTTAAGGAGTTGAGAATAAAGTGTGCCTTTTAAAATGGCGACGAAGAATGGCTGAAATTATTGTTTCTTGTAATGGGACGTCGGACATATGCGAAATAAATATATTATAAATGCGGCGAAATGTGATTTAAGTAGGAATGAATTTTCTTCGGAGTTTCTAAAAATAATTTTTTAATAAGTTGAGAATAAAGTTATAACATTCGCAAATTTTGTTGAACATTTCTCTACTTTATATTCTATGCAGTCGGATTTATCTTCTATGATAAATTTGTCTTTTATAATAGAGTGTCGTTTGAACTGAATGTTTTTATTTATAATTTGGACTACTTTCCAAAGTGTTCCTGGAAAATTTAGGAAATTCTAATTTTAATTTGCGTTAGCTAAATACTTATTAAATATTCTGAAATATTTAAAGATAATTACCAGATTTATATTTGAAATATGTTAATAATACATTTCATAGAACGTTGTATTTACTTATTCCACGTAGTCAAGAGAAATTACTTGTCTTTAAGAAAGTTAGTTAAGATACAATCCACTTTATTACTCAGTAACAGAACAATGTTCAACTCTTGTTTCAGTACCTTCGCAAGGTATAGTAGAGCAAGACAATTTCGATTTTAATCACTTTCCGTCGTATCCGAGTTTCTACCTTTTTCATGTTCAGTTTGATCGTGCATTTTTTTATAAGACTCCGTAAAAAGAGTCGAAACCAGCGGTTCACGTTCAAGTTGCGCGGATAATATGACGCAAAATGGACGCGTATCGGCGTAGTTACGTCGATGTTTTACAGGTATGAGTGTCGGCAGAGGATTTCTCGTTACACACGCCGTCGATCTCTCGATTCGAGAGCAAAAACGGGGGAACGATGTTGCAGTGCTTCACCGGTCGTTCGAGCGCCAGTTATGTAAAAGGTTGCAGCAGCGCTTTACACGCCCGAATTTCACGACTTTCTCGTCGCGCTTTACGCAACCCGCGTCGAAATGTTACGCATTCGTCGGCGCATACATGGTGACTGAAAATAAAATGTGACTTTTACGCCAGGGTCTTTATGCATGTAACGGCCCCGTCGAGGGAACGAACTCTGTCGGCGATCGAGAAATCGCTCGGAAATAATTAATCGCGCGAACGGGCAAACCATTAATCATATGCAGTAAATAATTTACTACCTATTTATCGTTTGGAAACCGAATCGATTTCATTCGAAACGGATGGGATCGTAAATTCGATAAATGATAGACCGTGGATACCTACCCGTACGTTTACGGCACAAGCAAATTTGTAAAATGCAACGGGCACGTGTCTATTAATAAAGATCGGTTTTTTTCTGTTGGTTTCACCGTAAGGAATGTTGCAGTTCAAGAAGAAAATTACATTACTCTGATTTCTATGAAATGATTTATGAAAATTGGAATGTTTTATGATAAATGTGGCATAATTCAAATGGAAATGGAGTAAATTTTAGTTAATCTGCAAATGAATTTTTCCGGTCAGAGAACAGGGATAAAATTACGTATACGTTTCGTCGGAGGGAGTAACGAACAACCGCGGAATAATGAAATTTTCAGGATTGCCCAGAATTTTCGGATAATAAATGAAGTTCACGCAAACACGTGATAAAATTGAACAAAACTTTTCCGCGGTGAATAATTGGCCCTCGAGTAACGGTGGAAACATGGCTGTTCAATTAGGTAACTGCGAAATAACGAACGGCCTGGCTAGAGGCTGAGAAAACGAAGAAGAAGGAACGCGGGGCCAATATGATAGCTGGCTTGTATGCAATTGACGAGGCGAAGGGCAGTGGCACATGACGACTTTATGGCACATTTCCGCGCTAAAATAGCGACCGGTCACTATTTCTGACGCGGAAAGTCAATACAGAGCACGTGCACGGTACAACGTGATACTGACCGACAACCAGTGTGGATGACACCGCGAAGTATTATGTTAATACTGGAACTACCGAGCATTTAATACAATTAATATGTAACCCTTATAAGAATTATAACAACATATACTTTTTGGTTTCTTCATGTATTCATTATAGTATTTAAGTGAAACTATTTATTTTTTAAATCATTTCGGATATTTAACACCTTTAAAGTATCAGTAATTACGAAATAAGAAAACTGAAACCCATTATTTTAACGGAGTGGTAGTTCCAGTGATAAT